TCATCCAGCATAACATAAAATACAGAACATTATGAAGGTCAGTTCACTATTAATTAAAGCTCCGCTCGAATCGAACTGTCGTCAGCACTAAAGGGGGTGACGATAGGTCATGGCTCTAATTTACAATCTATGTATTCCTGTACAAACCCAGATCAGGCAATGAACAGAAGAGTCTCCGCGAGCAAAATTTACATACTGAGAATTATCATTTTCTCATTTTTATTCGATAAATTAAAATCTGTTTACATACTCAAAATAAAACATTGCTGATTATTCTAAATATATTGTGATCAGTGCTGTAAGTAGAACGTTATGATAATTTCTGCCTGTTTTAAATACCTGTCAAAGAAACACTTGGAATGTATAAAAGCTTAGCTAGTAATACTAGAGCCTCGACCTTGTGAGTTAACGAATAATCAACTCTGACTAGACATCCGAGTGTCTAGACGATGACTTTTAGCATTACTGAACTGGATTAAGGAGTTCCATCAAAACTTTTATGAATTGAGTCTTTTTCCTTATTTCTGCCCATTGTAATTTCAGCAGATAGTCTATGATTTTTCTTTAATGCCATTATAAGCAATATTTGGGAAAAAAAGTGTATCTTCGATGTTTAATTTAGATGATTCTTTCTTATGTACAGAATATGTTGGTGGCCTTAATGCAGGGTCTGGCGTGAAAGTGGAGTAGCTTTCGTGAGAGTTCTCTCGATATCTGGCTTGGGAGTAATATCTGCACACGAGGAATCATCCGAGAACTTTCAAATGTTTAATGGTTGCGTTTTAACTAATAATGTTCAGTTTTAGTTCCCTGAAACACTAATATAATTATGCACATAATGGGTTAACCTATGTCTAAATATTGTTTTAGCAAAACTCAACCTGATAGTAATCAGTTTTCTTCATTTCAGTGTACTGAATATCCACTGACGGTGTACTTGCCTACAGACTTCCAGAATATTGCTTTGAATCCACGATGTGTGCATGTATCTAGAAATTTTGTGTGTGACGTCAATGAACATTTTATATGGTTACGTCGCGAACCGTTCATCTCAAACAATGCCGGCCATGGCCGCACGCCCCATAATTCCTCCTGTTGCCTTCGCATGGTTCACGATATACATGCATTCCCTTCGTTGTCTTTTGCTACTGAAAATGGTTCATCTTTTTTCTCGACTTACCTTGAGCTATATGTGTCTCTGAAACATCAGAACATGTTTCCTGACCAGCCTAGTGCATACCTTTACGAGAGTCTTTGCTTTAGAATCGAGGTTTTAGTTAATAGCCTCACAGCTAATGAATTAAACTAGACCTAAGAAGGATTATATTTAGGTAAATCATAATATAGATTTTTTTATTAAATCAGACAATCATTTTGTACACAGCATCTGTGAAAACCAGAAACAAGGTCAGACACCTAGTTTTGGTGTAGTGATAGAGACGTCCAAGTGTCTAGTGAGGATTGCAGCATAGCTTTTGTTAATATCTATAGAAAAATAACAGCTGCTGAAACAACCATGCCAAACACATGTATGTCTCACATAATTATATTGATGGAGGGTTTGAACTTTAGCTCTTTGCTCCTGCCTCACACCGCAAATCCACTACCCCATCACTTAAACTTTTGCGTTTTGATATGAATATGACTAACTCGGACTGACATCTCATTTTTAAACTCAAGTATTGTGCAGGAAATCTATTAATATATTTTTGCAAATATATTTACACTACACTGAAAATTATCAGTCGATTTCATATGTAAATATAATGAAACGATGCGCTACAAGACTCTTATTACTTTATTAAATTTTCACATTGTATTTAAATATCTTCAAGTATACATTTATTAAAATCTAAATCGATAGACCCAATATTAGGATTTCTATCTACAATAACTTTCATCTGCAATGATATGCATCAGAAACTTTGAATTCTCATAGACCCACCATCGCTGTATATATCAATATCTGCAAAATACCTACACATTGTAATATAACCAGCATCATGTATAGAAACAGACCCAAATGCTGTATATAGCCTAAGCCTTTTTCGTGCAAAATTTATGTATGACAATTGCGAGATGAAATCCTTTTTTTTACAAAATGATGGCGGTATGGAAATATGTTAGGATATATTTGTACAATACTATATGCATACACTATATTGATGTGATGTATCATATTACAGGCAAGGAAGTGGTTCTATGGAGGTTTTGTAGTTGTAGGATAGAGCTTATCAGACTCAGGGTAGAGCGTTTCCGGCTTTGGTAGTGTAAAGTTTCTCAGGCTCACGGTAGGGTAGAGAGTGTCAGGCCAATAGTAAGGTATAGAAAGCCCCAGGTTCGAACAGTTTGCCAGACCCGTTATTGGGTAGAAACTGAGAGCCCAGGTTTAAGGTAAAGTCTGAAAAGCTCGGAGCAAGGTAGAGGCTTACCAGGCTCGGAGCAAGGCAAGTCTGTCAATCTCGGGGTAAGGCAGAGCCTACCAGGCCCGCCGAAGTGTAGAATTTACCAGGCCTGGGGTAAAGAAGAGTCTGCAAAGCTTGGAGAAAGGTAGTCAGTCATAGTTTGCCAGGCTTGGGGTTAGGCAGTCTGCCTGGACTGACTCTAGCACACAAGCTGACTTCGTGTGGTTACAGTAGCGATGTGAAAAAGATTAAAGCAACACCTGCCCCCATTTTCTACCTCTAGTATAATCCTATTTGTACCATATCCCTGCCAACTTTGCATTACTGTATATAATTTTTTTATCAGTTATGACTATTCCCACCAATTTGATAAATTAAAATATTGAAAAATATCTAAAATATATTTATATATATATATATATATATATATATATATATATATATATATATATATATATATATATATATATATATATATAGTATATTTTGGTAGCAGTCTTTCCTGTAGACATATATTATTAAATATGACCGAAAAAGTAAGATTAATAATTCTAACACGAATTTTCTCAATCTTTCGTACATTACGCTTCACTGTTGGAGGTAAATCAAAAATCACTTCTCCAAAATTCATTTTTATTTCTAGTCTGACGCGACACGGGCACGTTTCGTAAAACTTATTACATTTTCAAAGACTTCACAAATACACAACTGATTAGAACTTGCGTTTCTCTGATTTTATATCTACATTTGAGTGAGGTGGGAAGGGTGATGTGGCATTAACACAAGACAGAACAATAGGGGATATTAATAGGGTATTAAAAGTATCAACACAAGACAGAACAGAAACAATGGGTATTGAATAGAAGTGTTTGTAGAAAGCCTATTGGTCCATATTTCTTGATGCTTCTATATTGGAGCGGAGTCTTGAGGTGGGTAGAATATAGTTGTGCAATAATTGGCTGTTGATTGCTGGTGTTGACTTCTTGATGTGTAGTGCCTCGCAAACGTCAAGCCGCCTGCTATCGCTGTATCTATCGATGATTTCTGTGTTGTTTACTAGGATTTCTCTGGCGATGGTTTGGTTATGGGAAGAGATTATATGTTCCTTAATGGAGCCCAGTTGCTTATGCATCGTTAAACGCCTAGAAAGAGATGTTGTTGTCTTGCCTATATACTGGGTTTTTTGGAGCTTACAGTCCCCAAGTGGGCATTTGAAGGCATAGACGACGTTAGTCTCTTTTAAAGCGTTCTGTTTTGTGTCTGGAGAGTTTCTCATGAGTAGGCTGGCCGTTTTTCTGGTTTTATAGTAAATCGTCAGTTGTATCCTCTGATTTTTGTCTGTAGGGATAACGTTTCTATTAACAATATCTTTCAGGACCCTTTCCTCCGTTTTATAAAACGGAGGAAAGGGTCCTGAAAGATATTGTTAATAGAAACGTTATCCCTACAGACAAAAATCAGAGGATACAACTGACGATTTACTATAAAACCAGAAAAACGGCCAGCCTACTCATGAGAAACTCTCCAGACACAAAACAGAACGCTTTAAAAGAGACTAACGTCGTCTATGCCTTCAAATGCCCACTTGGGGACTGTAAGCTCCAAAAAACCCAGTATATAGGCAAGACAACAACATCTCTTTCTAGGCGTTTAACGATGCATAAGCAACAGGGCTCCATTAAGGAACATATAATCTCTTCCCATAACCAAACCATCGCCAGAGAAATCCTAGTAAACAACACAGAAATCATCGATAGATACAGCGATAGCAGGCGGCTTGACGTTTGCGAGGCACTACACATCAAGAAGTCAACACCAGCAATCAACAGCCAATTATTGCACAACTATATTCTACCCACCTCAAGACTCCGCTCCAATATAGAAGCATCAAGAAATATGGACCAATAGGCTTTCTACAAACACTTCTATTCAATACCCATTGTTTCTGTTCTGTCTTGTGTTGATACTTTTAATACCCTATTAATATCCCCTATTGTTCTGTCTTGTGTTAATGCCACATCACCCTTCCCACCTCACTCAAATGTAGATATAAAATCAGAGAAACGCAAGTTCTAATCAGTTGTGTATTTGTGAAGTCTTTGAAAATGTAATAAGTTTTACGAAACGCGCCCGTGTCGCGTCAGACTAGAAATAAAAATGAATTTTGGAGAAGTGATTTTTGATTTACCTCCAACAGTGAAGCGTAATGTACGAAAGATTGAGAAAATTCGTGTTAGAATTATTAATCTTACTTTTTCGGTCATATTTAATAATATATATATATATATATATATATATATATATATATATATATATATATGCAACAATGATCGCAAAAACACTGATCCAAGTATGCAGAATAACCACTTGGGAAAAGTAGAGAATGCTTAACACGTTTTCAGCTAATTCGCCTTCATCAGAGCAAAGTAGAATGAAGATCTATATCTTCATTCTTCTTTGCTCTGATGAAGGCGAATTAGCTGAAAACGTGTTAGGCATTCTCTATTTTTCACAAGTGGTTTTTCTGTATATATATATATATATATATATATATATATATATATATATATATATATATATATATATATATATATATATATATATATATTGATACATGTATGAATTAATAAAATGTACAAACCTAAGAATGAGGTGAGATCATCAAATTACCAAAGAGATATCTCTTAGATTTCTAAGAGATTTTAAAGGACTAGAACCTTGGTCAGGACGTTTTACACCCTGAGTCTTCGAGAGCCAGGCTGAAGTTGAAGTAAACACAGTTGTTACAGTGTGTTCATACTCTTTCCGTGCTGAACGTAAACGCGCTTTTTAATTAACACGGAAGGTGAGGACATGTGGTGTTTGTCGTAGCATTTAGGTGCATAGGCTTTTTTTTATATCATCCTGCACAGCGATAAGGAGGAGCATCTTTTGTACTTTTTCTTGAATTTAGATGTCGTCTAATCCTCAGGCTAGGAGGAAACAATAAATATAAATATTTTATCATGACATGCATATATTTAATTGCTAGATTGTACCATATTCAATATCCAGGTGCTAGATCACCTCACATGAACAACTACTTGTCTTTGTCGACGCTTTGAATTAAAATTTATATATATGCGAGCGTTGAACCTGGTTGTAAAATTAGTTTTTTCATTTACTTGTAATTTACAAATACTACAATGAGCTGAATTCTTCTTAAGTTAGTGTCTGGCTGTTTAGACTGGTGCGATATAGTGTAATAGATACTTTCTGTCTCATGGTTTGCATCTGGGGGGTGGGAGGGGTACTACGCTGCATCTCATGGCATAATGCCTTCAATATGTGCCACCGTACAAACTTTAGTGAGCTAGTTATTGAGAGGCAACACGAAGATGTTATTGCATATTCTTCTCCTATTAATATGAATAATTTCAGTTACCATTTATAAGGAAGTAAATCGATGTGGTGCCTGTGCGTCTGCTATATTTTGTAAACAGCAAACATTTAGCGCTCCCGTCTGCTTTATTTGGTAGCATTGTGTTTGTTGTCGTACAATATACAAACAGAAAGACATTATTCGTATATATTCTTAAGTTCACCTTATGAATGAAAAAATAAAAGTGGCGTCCATATGTTGAGACATCATTCATAACTCAGCATTATAATAATAATGACGGTTCTCATAAGATGCAATATCAGTCTCGAGGTTAAGTATAAGCATCATTTTAGTATTTATATGACTACAAAAAGACATTATTAATCCAAGAGAGCAGAGACAGGTTCGTTGACGTTGACTGAGTTATTTGACGTCAATAAGCAACGAATATACCTCACTTCATGTATGACCCGCAATAGTACCCACTTACTGCTGACTTTCCTACTGCTGACCCTATACTACTACTACCCTCTTATTGATGATGCATTTACTACTGACAGTCTCACCGCTGATCCTATTCTACTAACTTTCTCCTGCTGACCCACTTGTTGTTGACTCTCAACTCCAGATCCTATTTCTGCTCATCCTCTACTGCTGACACTCTTATAGTGCCCCAGCCTAATGCTGACTATTTAATGGTGACCGTCTACTGCTTACCCTCTTACGGCTGACCTGCTGTTTATCCCCTTACCACTGACCCCTCTATAACTACTGACTCTTACTGATATCTTTCTTTTACTGAGCTGCTACTACTGACCTGCTGTTGAAACTCTTGCTGACCCTCATCCCTTAAATTATTTGAAAATATATCTGGATGCATTAGATGTTATTAGAAAATTTGTTAGATAAAGAGATATTTTAATAAGACTATAGAAAAAACTGGGATTGCTGGCTGAATTTTGTGGCCCAAATATATTCGAACAAATATTCATATATTGCAAATTCATCTGAAAGGAAACAATTAAGAGTTTTTTTTCAGTGTTGTAAAACATTATACCTGGTGACTTTCATAGTAAATGGGCAGTTGATCCAATAAATTAATAAATAACCCACACATATTTTGTAAAAAAAAGTTACATTATTTTTATGGATTGGTGAGGTTGGGGTTAGGGGGGGGGGAAGGTGACCAGTGTTGCAGATGATTTTTTTGTATTAAGGAAAGATGAAGCGGGCAGTATTCCGGTGAGCTGACCAGTGGTGCAAGTGATCTGGTGGTGGGGAAGGGGTGAGGTATCCACTGTTAGAGATAGTCCAGTGTTGAGGAGGGCTGTGTGTTGGAAATGGTTCTGTGATGAGGAAGAATGAAGTGGCCAATGCTGGGGTGAGGTGGCCAGTGCTGGGGTGAGGTGGCCAGTGCTGGGGTGAGGTGACCAGTGCTGGGGTGAGGTGGCCAGTGCTGGGGTGAGGTGGCCAGTGCTGGGGTGAGGTGACCAGTGCTGGGGTGAGGTGGCCAGTGCTGGGGTGAGGTGGCCAGTGCTGGGGTGAGGTGACCAGTGCTGGGGTGAGGTGACCAGTGCTGAGGTGAGGTGGCCAGTGCTGGGGTGAGGTGACCAGTGCTGGAGATACGCCCGTAATGGTGACAAAAGGAGAGAGAGTAAGCTTTTAAAATTATTGTACGTGATATGACCGTATTTTCTTTGTTCAGCTGAAATAGCCACTTGCCGGTAGTAGGGGAGTGGCATCTCTCTCGCATCCCTTTAATGTTTCCATCTCATGTTAGGAGCCTCCCTCACCGCCTACTGTCTCCACCACATGTAGGGAGCCCTCATCCACTCCATATCTGTCCACACCTCAAGTCCCCTTTACTATTTCTACGTAATAGGAGGGGATCTTTATCCTTTGATTCTGTCCACTACTCCTGTGAGGGGGCCTCTGTCACCTCTTCCCCTACAACTGTTCTCAGCTCACCATCCTCTAATATGAGGCTCACCATCTCATCAATCACTTGGCGCAATATAGCACAGAATATCATTTTATCATGTGATGTCCTGCTGCAATAACCAGAATTCAGTTAAATCGGATGAAGATCGGGACTATTCAAAGGTTCAATATATGGCACTTTCTTGTGTTTCCGTCAACCTTGGCCAGCCCTGAGTAGCCAGGTGAAAAAAATTACCTAGCCATTGTTACTTGGCATTATAAAGCAAATAATAAAAATGATTAAAGCTTAGACAAATAGGAAAATTAAAGTAATCTAAGAGATTGGATGGAAATTTCAAATATTTGAAAAGATTGTTGCTCCTTAAAGGAGTTACACTGACATTGTTCACAGTCAACAGTTATCATAAAAAGTTCTAATCATCTTGAACGTTCACTATGTAATCTACATATGCTAAGCTGTGAGTCACGAAGCTTCATTGGTAATTTATTCACTTAGGCTTATCCAATGGATTGTATAAAACTGAATACATTTAAAATTAATGCAATGCATTAATAATTAAGGAGCTCAGTACAACTTCACACAGCCTCTTGAGAATTTAAGTTATGTGGTATAATCAAAGTAAGGATTGTATTTTCCCTGAAGGATATAAGAGCTAAGCTCTGATCTAAGATTATGTCTGACAAATTTTGTTTCAATAAAACATTGTTTCCTTGTATAGTAAATTCGTTGCCTACTGGTATCAAAGTATTTTATTATCCTAAGCTTAATCTATATTTCAAAGTTTTAAGTATTTAATTGATATAAATAGTTTACGATATCCATCAATAAATCGTTGCGATTTGTTTTTTATTTTACTTTTAATGGTAATGACATATGTTGGAGTTATAGCATTTGTAATCATGTATAATAAAGTATACAATAATAAAAAAGGGGGGTGGTAGGAGAAGCAACAACTGTTGCAACATATCACCTCACCCAAATGCGAGTATATAAGACAAGCTGTTCAATGTTAGCATTAAGTAAAACTCTGTTTAGTGTCTTCAGGTTACAGTTGTGTATGTGTAAACTAAAGTCTTGGAAAATGTAATAAGTTATTACGAAACGCGTTCAAGCGTCGCGTCAGACTAAGAATAAAAATGAATTTTGGAGAATTGATTTTTCAATTAACATCGACAGTAAAAAGAAACATAAGAAATATTGAGAAAATTCGTATTAGAATTATTAATCTTACTTTTTCGGTCATATTTAACAACATATGTTTACAAGAAAGACTGCTACCAATATATATATATATATATATATATATATATATATATATATATATATATATATATATATATATATATATATATATATATATATATATATATATATGAATTATGGGTGCCTGGGGTTAATGTGCACTTAAGTTTTTAGAGGAGGTGGGATAAGACCTCATTGGGAAAACTAAAGACTCAAGAGCGGCCAGTTTCCTGTTCCATCGCCTCAGTGTCGCAGTTCAGAGGCAAAATGCGTGCTGTATACTTAATGCGCACCCAACCTCCGAGGAGCTGGAAGAGGTCTTCAAACACTGATTGTTATATTGTTATATATCTGTGTGTGTTCTCTGTAAACTGTAGCATTGCAATAAAATTAAATAAACTAAAATAAATAAATAATAGGGGTGGTAGGAGAGTAAAAGATTAAAGTGTTCAGTGAGAATCCACAAGGTCTTCTCTGAATACTCTTTTATTTTCTTCTTCGAGGATGTGGGTTTCTACAATTGCACCAGAGGTGGTACCCCTAATATATATCTTATATATATATATATATATATATATATATATATATATATATATATATATATATATATATATATATATATATATATATATATACATACATGTTTAAGTAGTATTAACAATTGTGTAACTAGCTTCACACGATTGTCACTTGCTTAGCTAAATGAACTATTGGGTTCAGTTCCTGAACCGATTATGTACTTCTATAACCCTTTCCGCCACCGCCCACGGGATGGGTATGAGGTGCATAACAAAAAAAGAAACTGAATATAGTAAAAAAAATGATCAGCATACTTAGGTATACACAACAATATGCTGCTACCCCTATTCAATATGAAAGATTATATAGTATAGATCAAACATTAGTTGTAAGTTCATCTAATACCCCCATCTCTCAGGATGGTTAGTCATACATAGACACAAGAAATAACATAAATTGCGAACAAACTATTCTCAAATCTTTTGAGTTTTGCTTTTATTATTAACAAGCTTAGAAAACAGCACATTAGTGTGCTGCTACTCTATCCTATATGAAAGATTACACAGTGTCAATAAAAAACTAGATATAAGTTCAGAAAATATCCCCATCTCACAGGATGGCTAGTCATACATGGAATCAGGAGAGAACATAAAATGTAAGGCTTATTAGCCTCCACTAGCAAAATCTGGATACAGCTCAAGAATAGCTTCCAATATTCCTGAGTGTGTGTAGTAATTACAGAGCTCAAAGTACCTCATACCATTTGGTTTGAAATCACTGATAACAAGAGCAATCACAGATAGTGTTAGAGAGTATGTCTTAACTCATGTTCGCATAGTTTACAATTGGAATGTTTACCATTGGGGGTATTCATTATCTGCAGCCACCTGCCATATATATCGATATCCCAGCCTAATTCTGCTAATTACAATATTACACTCTCTAGAGGATGTTTTATGCTGTTCGTACATATAATTCTCGGTTCTAAACATCTCATAGCTCCTTATACTCCTGCTTTCTGGTCATTGAGTGTCAATAACTGCTCTTCTGTCTTCCCTAATTTTCTGAAATATTGTGGCTTTTACAGCAGAGATTTGAATGCACATTTCAAACTCAATTTCAGGCTTATCACATGCAGTTTTAGCTGCCGTGTGTGTTTCATCATGCTGGTCAACACTTATGTGAGATGGTATTCGTACAAAGGACACTCTGAAACTCTTGTACTGTGCATTAAAAATGTTGTTTATAATGGATGTTACAACTTTTTAGTATTTGTTTTGCATTTTGGGCTTTTAGGGGCCGGAAAAGCTGACTTTGAATCACAGAAAATTACTCCTCCACTGTTCTTCAGTGAGTTAATGGCAAGTTGTAGTGCAGCTAATTTTGTGGCCTTCAGAGGAAAACAAGTCTCACAAGCTTAGCCACTAGAGAGACGTATATATGTGCCAATAATCTGTCACTCTGTACCACGGCTCATCCGACACAGATAAAAGCTCTTTATTTCATTTTCCGATAAGCTTTTTATCTCATTTACAGATAAAAATGAACCCAACAGTCAGCCCACATAACCCCAGCGTCCCCACCAATCACTCGCAACCTTTTCTTACACGGGCCATAAATAACCTCAGTATATACCTCACTTTACTCCAAAACTCTGAAACCCAGCTTACTGTTCCCCGTATTCCACCTTGGCTTTATGCAACCCCTAAAACATCAATACAACTGGAAGACAACATTCCAAAGTCTGCACCAAACTCAGCCATAGTTTCAGTCTTTGCCTCAACAATGAAAAATTGCTCCCTAAATACCACAGTGATTTACACAGCTGGATCTCGCATCCTCCTGAACAACGCACCATCGGTCACTAGCGCTGTATGGATCCCACAATACTATCTCAAGCAGGGATGGCGGTTACCAAACCTACTATCTATTTTCACAGCTGAATTATATGCCTTATACCAAGTCCTCCAAATAATCCAAACATTACCAGTTCGGATATATACAATCTGTAGTGACTCCAAGAGTGCGATTCAAGCAATTACGTACTCTTCCACAACATGCAAAGAGTTTGTTTACCCATGCTTTCAACTTCCTTATGAACATCGATTGAACGGTTATGATATTTCTATCCAATGGGTCCCAGCACATTGTGGTATACACCACTATGAACTTGTAGATCAACTGGCCAAAGCGATGCACAACACGCCTTAAATTTCCCGTCATCCAATTCCTCGCGTAACACGGTAAGGAGCCTTCGAAGATACCATCACCCAAGATTTTGTAATGAAATGGAAAACGTCATTCTCATCCCTGTACAATGGGTCCATAAAAATAAATGGTAAACTTGGAAACATTCATGATATTAAAAGCAGATAAATTGATGTAACGATGACCAGATTAAGGCTGGGACACACACCAAACTGGAAGCACACAACTCTAAAAACAGAACAGTCATTAACGAACATCCACTGGCATGTGTCAGAAACAATCTAACACTACCTCCTTCACTGTTGCCGACATCATAGTGTCAGATTAAACTTCAGACAAATACTTATCACACTTAAAAAAACCTTTTACCATCGAGCACATATTAGGAGGAGGAGACCTCTCGTTACACGAAAAATATCAAATAGTCTAAGCACTGGCTAAATATCTCCAATCGATCAACAAATTAGGCCATATTTGACCTGTGTCACATTTATACCTGTCGCTACCAACAGCCAAACACAGAAAACAACTGCCTCGTCGCAGCACCAAGGATCAGCTGACGCCATAAACACAACGCCCCGCCCTTCAGCGTGACAAGTCTCCCTCTAACACGCGCCTCTCTTTACTCGCCGCTTCTCTATCTACACCACAACACAACAAACACTTGAAACCTTGTCACTCTCAACATTAACACGTCTCCCAACATTTGTACACGTGCAGTCATTGTAGAGAGTAAACCCTTCATGCAAACTGCACCTTCCATCAAGAAGAGAGACATCAGCGTAAGCATAGTGCTCGTGAAGCCGTAAGTTATTTATAAGGAATCAATGGTTTCAAGTGTTATGGCATTCGGGAGTGCTGGGTTTGTCCTTATAATTTTTACTGATGGGCGTGTATTTCAGGGTACAGATATAGTGGAATATTATTGACTAGTACGTTGCATACAATAGGAATATTCAGTTTAATGAGATTGGCAACACTTTCACTCAACCAGCTTGAATATAGGTTGCTCGCTGGTGAGTTGGCAACACTTTTCTCCCAACAAACAGCACTAGTAAATTTTTCTCTGACTACTGCTTACTACTTGACAAGTATTAAGGGTGATGTTGGGTCTCTCATCACCCTTACAAAGAAGGTAGTATCGAGCTACTGAATTCTTTAACATATGGTTTCAGCATCATAATTGGAGTCAATCTTATTACATTTCTAATACGAGAAAGGGATTATTCCGGCAATAAGGGTGCAAAAATTGATTGTAGAATCATAAATAAAACCGTTGAGATAAATGACAGTTCTCATATGTACCGTTAACTATAATGAAACTCACAATACTGAGAGAGCCTACAGGAAAAAAAATCCAATGCACAAATTACATCCCCCCCCCCATTTTTTTACAGATCTCAATTCTGCAATAAACGTATATTGTGTAAAAAAGAAGAAATCCTAATGATCATTTTACCCAGTTTACAACCTCAGCTCCTTCCTTGTTGTATCTTAAAAGCTTGGTCAAGGTCATTATATAATGGAATACATAAAGCTTTAGAGAAAATTAAAAATGAAGCTATGAGGATAATTCTTGGAGCTCCCAGATGCACAAGAATCATCAACATGAGGATGTGTGTCAAAACAACACAAGTAAAAAATAGTTTTGCGGTTTGTCCAACTCCATAGTTCAGATTTCTACTTTCTGATTTCGTTGTACGTCGGTATACTGTGGTCCTCATTGTTACTGTAAGTACTCCCAAAACAGGAGGAAGGGCTGGATAATGACACTTTAAGCTTTGAGAGCTCTTACTATCTAGTAATGACTTGCTGGAGCTATTTTTACATTACACATAACAACGTCATATATATCGAAATTTTGTAATGTAATTTGGGTATTTGAGCCTCAAAGTGACCCACTCTTGTCATCTATGATTTCTTGCAAATTAAGGTATTCCTTGATCTGACATTATATATTTTTACAAATTTCACTGAAGACTGAAACAGTTTTGTCAATAATATTTTGTGCTGTACTTTGTGTTAATCCCCGTGACGAGTAGCGGACATCAAATTGGACCTCTTCACGTATTTTGATTAACGTGCACATGAATGCAGCATCAAGAGCCTGAATATTTGCAATATTTCTCATATCTGTTAGCTGAACATGTTTACCTACTCCGTATGTTCTTAAAAGAGGTGTAAACATATTTAAAAACAAATAGTCAAACGTAATAGGTTGTGGTTTTGCAAAGAATTTCTCAGGAGAAAAATCAGCTGGCCGAAGCATTCTATCAATGACCATATCTTCAATAAATAATTTGTTCTTCAAGTTATTCTGAAACTGAACATCATACTGCTTTGCATACATCCAGAAATGATCTTTGACATTGTAAGGTGTTGAAAAGTTCTGATACATTGGAGCATTATGGAAGCCCATAGGGAAGGACTTGGAGTAACCTTTCATGTAACGACGCATATCAATGGGAACACGACTCCTAAGATTGTAGGCGTCTCGTGTCAAGCCGGCCTCCCTTACTACGTCAACAAGAGCCGTGTTAATTACATTTGTAAATCCAGCGTTGAACGATATATTTTCAGACTGACATTTGGCATGAAACTTATCCACGTCTGAATTATTCAGAAAAACATTTTCCAAGTATATTGTCTCAGCCTGAGAGGGTTCTGATGCTCCAAATGCTTCAATGAGGACTGAAGTGGCCGGCTCTTCTTTTTTAAGTTTAAGTAATGAACTCAACCGCTCAGGATCATTTTCAAGAGCTGATTTTATTTGTTGGGTAATTTCTGATGTCTGACTGTGGTCTGCAATTTGACCAAATTGCGAATCATCAATGGGCTTTCCGCTGAGCATGTCATCAATGATCTTATGGAACCACATGACAATCATCGCCATATCAAGGCCATCAAATGCTGAATGTTGGAACTCAAATATCACTGTGTTCCGATATGGAAATTTTTTGTTTATCTCTGGCCGAACAGGAAGGGCGTCAGGGGTAGATGTCAGAATTCGAACGCGCCACAGAGGTCCATCGGTCAAATTTGAGGGCATGTTTAACACTGACTGTGTTTCCTTAATTGGATCTGACCCTTCAACAACCTGAGAGATAAAGCAACAACAATTAGTTCAGAAATACAGCCATATGAAGCAAAGGCTTAAGTAAGGTAATTCAGATAATAGAGCCAGGTATCAATTACTCTAGAAAAACTTGTTTTATTATGGAGCCTGAGTTGTTTATAACAGAATGAGCCAGTATAATTTGACGAATTAACTAGACCAGCCCTTCACTAATTAACCCATTGACCACTAATACTTAACCTAAATATTAGTGTAAATTAACGTAAAAGGACAGTCTCATCATAATGTCACTGTTGGTTAACCTAAACCCTCTATGTCCGTTGACCTTAGTTATTAAGTCATTTGTTAGTTAACCTTAAGTGGATAAAGCTATAGTCATTTGTTAGTTAACCTAAATAATGAAGGTGAATTGAACTCATAAGGTCGAGCGCTTGAAGACTTAATGGGCTCAAAAGAGCTTCCAAACTTCACTTCATCAATAAATCTCAGTAATGTGTTACATAAATTACTGAGTGTTTATATATATTACTTACATAAATTAAGTTTTTATATTAAATACTTAATTTTTAATAAATCAAGACGCTATAAGTGAAATATTCACCTTAACATTTGATAACTTATAACTCAGTAGTGTCAGCTATAAATAATCATAATTTATCAAATATACTGAGCAAAACAGGTATGTCTTACCTTCAATGCCCATTGTTTCGTGTTCTGCCTTGTGTTGAAAGTTTGTTTTCAGCTCATCCAAAACTGTTGTAACATATCACCTCACCCAAATACAGGTATAAAAAATCGAAGATGTTTAAGCTCTATTCAGTTATAGCTCAGTTGTGTGTGTGTAAACTAAAGTTTTTGAAAATGTAAAAAGTTTTACGAAACGCGCTCGTGTCGCGTCAGACTAGAAATAAAAATGAATTTTGGAGAATTGATTTTTCAGTTACCATCAACAGTGAAAAGAAACATAAGAAAGATCGAGAAAATTCGTGTTAGAATAATTAATCTTACTTTTTCGGTCATATATATATATATATATATATATATATATATATATATATATATATATATATATATATATATATATATATATATATATATATATATATGAAACAGGAAATTTCCTTAAGTACTTTCGTATATTAAATACATCTTCAGAAGGTCTGAAGATGTATTTAATATACGAAAGTACTTAAGGAAATTTCCTGTTTCATTTTTCCTCCGTGGTCTGACATTGTCACATTCTTAATCACGTGTTTATTTTCGTGATATACACATATATATATATATATATATATATATATATATATATATATATATATATATATATATATATATATATATATATATATATATATATATATATTCGGTAAGAGTATATATATATATATATATATATATATATTCGGTGTGTTGGTGACACACAGAGTGTGTGCAGTGCTCACCTGGAAGTCGATGGAAGGTACTGGCATCTCACACAGCCACCACTGTTTGTCACGGGGGCGGAAACAGGTCCTCATCAGCTGAACCTTACTGAAAACCAAACAACTTGATTAATCCTTTTCCTGCCGTGTTTCACTGCTACTTTGTCGCTTATATGTTGTTAGGAAGTATTTTACTAATTGAAAATATTTATAAAATAAACAAATGTTGTCAAATAAATAAGAAATATGGTAGACGCCCATTAGAAGTTAATTTGCCAAAAAAAAATTCACATCCCATAGCCAAAACAAACCGTATTTACCAACTTATAAGACACTTCATGTTAATTTAAGTGCATTACAAGGAGACCTCTGATACCTGGTCATTGTGCTAGAGTTAGCGTTCCTTAAAGCCATCAATAGTGCTCATATCAAAGCTCCTGAAATCCCATCACGGTGCTTGGAGCTCCGTGAGGAACTAAGACAATGCATCATAAAGAGAGTGTTAAAACACAAGCAAGCAGATGGCGAGCCTTGTTGGTTTCACCAGAGGAACGGACAAGCGACTTGTGTCTTCTGCTACATGAAAATATTAGATGAGCCACGACCTGCTAATTAATATGATAGTTCAACAATTACTTATATAAATCACCCATGATTCCCTATGGTTAGTAATGAGGGTGGTTATACCTTATTGGTAAAGGCAGCTGCTTCTCGATCTCAAGGTTTGACGCATTTATTGAGCCTTTTTTCTATTAACACATTTAGGTTCATCTGCATTTGTGCAGCTGCCTTAATCTATATGAAGGGGAGTACAGTGTGTGTCAAAAACTAGCTGTCCTAGACTATATGAAGAAGAGTACACAGTGTGTCACGAACTAGCTGCCCGAGACTTTATTTATTTATTTATTTATTTACTAGCTGTACCCGGCCACGTGTTGCTGTGGCTCAGCAATGCATATGCGTTGCAGAGCCACGGCAACCTTCCTCTGTCTCACATTCCTCCCCACCATTTCCCCCTCATCCGTCCCCTCGTCCTCTCCACCATCTCCACTCCCTCGTCCGGTGCATTTCCAATTGATCTGATGTATGTATATAGAATAGTGGTCTTTTTTGTTTTGGTAGGGACGCGAGTCTTATTTTCCTCGGCGTCACCCCTTTTATGCTGGACTCACGGAAATATTCCCTCACATTGGCAGACCAATATTATTCTTCCTATCTTAAACCAGGAAAAGACCCATCCCAACCTGCATTATACAAATCTATCTCCTTACTATCGGTGAAGAACTTTCGGAGATTACAACAAGCTCAGGTTATATAGTTACATCACATACATACATTGTATGATTGATACATTACATGGTCAATTTTGGATACAAGTCCAATATATCATCAAGTGTTCCAGTACTCATATAGTAACTACAGAGTTCAGCATACCTTAGCCCAGGAGGGCGAAAGTCAGTCAGTATGGGACATTCTACAATATAATGTTCAAGAGAGTGCATGTTTTCTCTTTCACAAAGTTGACACATTGTGTACTCGACATTTGGGTTTTGAGAAAGCTGCCAGATACGTCTATATCCCAGGCGTATTCTGGCCACTATAACATCACATTGCCGGGTTCTTGTTCTATTAGTCCCATATGTGAATGTCTCCTCACGATATCTATCATAATATTTAATGCTACAACTTTCAGGTCTTTGAGAATTTGTTAGGTCGGTGAGATTTTCATTAGATATTTGTTTAAGTATTCTCTTTGTCACTGCTAATGAAACACCCATATCAATTTCTACCACTGGTTTTCTGCAAGCTGACTTAGCAAGCATATCAACAGTGTCATGCCTTGAGATGCCAACATGTGATGGTATCCATAGGAATTTAATCTCAAATCTGTTTTCTTTGGCAGCTAAAACATTCATTCGAATATCACTGACTATTTTCTGGGTGTCACTACTATGTGCGTTCAATGCCAGGAGTGCACTCTGCGAGTCACAGTATATAAGTCCACTGCCTTTGTCTTTTAAAAATTCAGTGGCAAGGTATATGCCTGCAAGTTCGGTTTGAGTTGTACTTGCCCAGTCATTGACGCGCTTCATTGCTGTATGTACGAGAGAAGATTGTTCAAATATGTTACATGCACATCCGGTACATCGTCCACCTTCTTCTACAGAGCCGTCGGTATAGCACTGATAAACATCGTTACCCATACTCTGAGTACTTTCAGTGATGCTTTTCAGTGTTAACTGTTTTAATAATGTAGTGTGCACACTATCTTTCTTGGGCGCATTTACAAAATCAACTGATAGATCCCAGTTATCCCATGGAGTAATTGGCTGATTAATCATTAGTCGAGTTGGGTACATATTTAATATTTTGATGGAGTTGGCTACCTTGTAGAACCAATATACATAATCAGATTTCGTTCTTCTTCTATAGACCTCAGGTGAGTGCAGCATATTAGAAAGTTTAGCTTGAAACTTCATGTGTTGTCTAGATCTACTCAATGCCTTCACGCCGAAAACTGTGCTAATAGACAAGATTCTCTCACTTATGGTAGGTAATTTTAACTCTGCTCTCATGTTAACTATTCTCGTGGACTTTGGAGCCCCAAGGATGAGACGCATAGCTTCATTTTGCAAGGTTTCAAGAGATTTCAGCTCTTTGTCAGTATACAGTGTGAGATGTAGAGCATTGTAGTCAATCACAGAGCGTATAAATGATACATAAAACATTCTAGCAAGTCTCACATTAAGCCCATGATTGACACCAACAAGGACCGCAAGGGCTTTAATCTCTCCCAAAGCCTGTGTTGCTCTTACGTCCAACAGATGGCGCTGTTTTTCAAAAAAGAATGTTTTTTCCTGTCACAGGTGAGACATAGTAGGTATATAAAAACACGCGCCTATTCGAATGCAACGTTGTGTCAAAATTTCAAAGCAATCGGTAAAGAGGTTTCGAAGATTTCCTTCACATGAAAAACACATGAAAACACAGTTTAAAAAAAAAATCCCGTCACAGATGTGACATCGATATAGTATGTATATAAAAACCTGCTCAGATGCGAATGGAACGTTTTATACAGATTTCAAAGCAATCGGTGAAGAACTTTCGGAGATTTGCGATTTTGAACAAACGAACATTTACATTTTTATTTATTTAGATTTTACTTCTTTTATTCTGGCACAGCTGAGCATAGAAGAGGAACAGTGTTGACGTGTTCTCACAGGTACGACGTTGACGAAACTTGAACCACGACGTTGATGAACCATGAACACAACGTTGATGAACCATGAAACACGACGGTGATAAACCATGAAACACGACGGTGACGAACCATGAAACACGACGTTGATGAACCATGAAACACGACGGTGATGAACCATGAAACACGACGTTGATGAACCATGAAACACGACGGTGACGAACCATGAAACACGACGTTGATGAACCATGAAACACGACGGTGATGAACCATAAAACACGACGTTGATGAACCATGAAACACGACGGTGACGAACCATGAAACACTACATTAACGAAGCATAAATATGTTATATATATTTTAGCAATTTGTAGTCTTTGCTCGAGTTAGTTCATCTAATAATCCAAAAACAGCATTTGTTAATGTTTGTTTTATACAAAAGAAAGTTGGGCTCTGTACTTACTTGCACAGATGAGTAACAGCTTTAAAATATTGTTGTTCATCAAATGGTTGATCTAAGTGCAAGATAAAATATCCGCCCTGAGCCCAAGTGCCGTGGCTGTTCATGGCCATCATGTCCTCTACCCTGTTATCGGCTGGGAAAAGCAACTTCACCTCTTGCTCTTCATTCCTGAGGAAAAATAATAATTAATTTGAGGCATTATATTATGAGGGAGAAACTTTGAAATCAAATATCGTTCCACAATGAGAGTAATTGTTTAAACTTTCAGCAGAACACAAAGGTCAAGATTTTTGACATTTTTTCTTCTTGAAATAAAATCACATGTTCATCATGTGGCAATGGAACATATTGTATGTTGTTGTTGGTGATGCTGTTGTTGTTGTTGTTGTTGTTGATAGTGTTGTTCTTGTTTTTTTCTTACATCTCATACACCTTAATAATTCCTTCTTGAATATTTTGTTCCTACATTCATCTTGCTCATCGTCGACTTGCAACATCTTGCAATATTCATCTTGGTATTTTTAGCAACAAACGTCTTCATCATCATTATCTTACAACATTCGTCTTGCACCATTTCAACTTGCAACGTTGCAACAATCCATATCAAGTACAAGTTCAAGTATGTTTATTGAGACAAGAAAAAAAAATAGAGGTGAGAGAGGAGGAGGATGAAGGAACCAAAGTGGTGTGGGAAAGGGGAAAGGAAGGAAGGAAGAAGTAGGGATAAAATACCCATATAGTTGTTTCAGTTCTTCCTAATAATATATCTTGAGACAATGGGAAGAAGGGGAAAAATAGATGGGGGGGACAAAGGGGTGACGGGAAAAAGTTCAAAGTTACTTTTAAAAGATTAAATTTTATAGGCTTACATAAGACGTTTATATGCCTAATATTATTAAGTATTGATGGACAATAAAGCATATATCTTACAATTGGGGCTGGCGGTGGGAGCTCTGCATTGCCATAGCTGAGGAAAAAGGCCTGAGACGAGGTGTGGCCCGTTGTTGACTGAGGCGCTGCAAGATGGGGCACACCGGACGCCACACCCTCGCTGCTGACATGCTTCTTCCTACTACATGAAGAAGCGAAGACATGTTGCTTACGCTACGCTTTCTGTAAATGTAAAATGTTTTCTTTTGAGATATGTCAAGAACTGACACAGATCTGACTCGCTTTTTTAGTTGTGGTAATTGTGTCTATTTTTTACCTTGCTCGTGTGTCTTAATTAAATGGGTCGCGAAGACCTCTTTTAGAACTTTTATTCAATAGATTTTTACACATTAAAAGTTTTATTTCTTTGGATAAATTATATTATTATTATTATACAGCTAGGTTATTTAGAATTTGGTGTAACCAAATTCATATATACTATATGAATACTTTAATACTTGATGATGTATTGGACTTATACCAAAGATTGACTATGTAATACATCTGTTATACAATGTATGTACCTATAACCTGAGCTTGTAAAAGCATCTTAATCACCTTCAGTGGTTAAGTGTGTTGTATCACAATAGTTTCTATAGAAGCTATCGTACCTTGGCAAAGTAGAAGAGACATACGTGTATGTATATACATGTAGATATGTATATATATATATATATATATATATATATATATATATATATATATATATATATATATATATATATATATATATATATATATATATATATAGTGCTGTAGTGCTTTTATAATGCTAATATAACCTATAAACATTAATACAGATTTACGTCTGTCCTATAAATAAACAGTGTTTGAGGTGTCTTTTTACATAGCGTCATTAACGTGCGTTTACAAAGTGGAAATGCAATTCTGACCAGCTTCCACATACCCTGTATATAAATACACACACACACATATATATATACATATATATATATATATATATATATATATATATATATATATATATATATATATATATATATATATATATATATATATATATATATATATATATATATATATATATATATATATATATATATATATATATGTATATATATATGTGTGTGTGTGTGTGTATTTATATACAGGGTATGTGGAAGCTGGTCAGAATTGCATTTCCACTTTGTAAACGCACGTTAATGACGCTATGTAAAAAGACACCTCAAACACTGTTTATTTATAGGACAGACGTAAATCTGTATTAATGTTTATAGGTTATATTAGCATTATAAAAGCACTACAATCACCTTATGTGGTTGATTGTTCAATAAATCCCTGAAATGTATGTTTAACAGATCTCTAACCCTGTCCATAAAGAACAAAAGGAAATAAAAATACAAACAAATACAAATATAAATATATATTCATGTAAAGTACATACATAGATACAAAACGTTGATGGATTTATAGATAGAGCTAGTACATACAATGCCTAAAGCCACTATTACGCAAAGCGTTTCGGGCAGGAAAAACACTAAGATTAAAACTTAATACTAATTGAGGTTAAAGTATAAATTGTTTTGAAAAAATAAAAAAAGGGGGGGGGAACATGGCAGAAAAAATAGCAAAAATACAATTTGGACAACAAACAGCATTGTTTAAAATAGTTGACATGGGTTGACATTTTGGGGGGTGAGGTAGGTTATATGGAGTTAATTTGGTAGTACTTAGTTTTTATCTTAAACTGGTTGAGAGAGAGATACAATCTTTAACAAGATTGGGAAGGTCATTCCACATTCTGGGTCCCTTGATTTGTAAAGCATTTCTAGTTTGATTAAGTCGTACTCTTGGAATATCAAATAGGTATTTGTTTCTGGTGTGGTGCTCATGGGATCATTTACAACCTTTTAAGAAGCTTTTAAGGTCAGGATTGACATTACAGTTCAGCGTTTTATATATATAAAATACACATGAGAGGATATGCAGTGACTTAATATCTAATATATTCAGAGATTTAAGGGTACCGAGTGATGTCTGGGGACAGAGTTGGATATTGTCCTAATATCAGCTTTGTGTTGAGTAATTAGAGGACGTAAATGATTTTGGGTAGTAGAACCCCAAGCACAAATACCATAGTTGAGATAAGGATAGATGAGAGAGTAATAGAGTGTCACCAGGGCAGGGCGAGGAACGTAGTATCTAATCTTAGAAAGAATGCCAACAGTTTTTGAAACTTTTTTTTATATATTTAGAATGTATTTTATATTATATTTAAATAATTATATTATATTATTCTAATATCTAATAATAATATCTAAAATAATTATATCATATTATATTATATTTAAAATGTATATATGCTGGTTAGCACTGTAAATGTGTGGCCACGTTTGTAGTAGAAAATAATGCAAAAATAACAAAATAAAAAATTACCCAGAGACGTGACCACACCGACCCAGACTCAACAATTTGCAGTGTGAATATCCCAGGCGTCACCCCTGGTCCCAGAGTGGCGGGAAGTGGCCAGGGTGAACCATCTCAGCAAACACCCATCAAACAGGTGGGACGGCAGTGTGGAATCTTCGGTTCTGCAGTGAGGGCAACTACGAGACTCTGAGGGGCTCACACAGTTATAGTAGAGGGAGGGGGTGACCCTGTGCCAGACAAGGGGGGGTGCCTGTGCCAGACAAGGGGGGTGCCTGTGCGAGACGAGTGCTTATGGGAATATCCTTGATAAAGAGATACATCAGCTCTCGTGAAGCAGTTATCGTGTTTTAAATGCGTCGACCTCACAGTGAGCCAGATTACAAGTGTATGATATTGTGCAGTTGTTGTTGTTAGAGATCTAGCTACTTAAAACAGAAATTTCCATGTAGCACGGGCTATAGTGAACCTGTAATTGAGTTCGGTTATTCGCGTTTCTGTGATATTTGGATCAGCGTTTTAAACAGAGGTGGGGTTTCCTCCTTTTCTCCCATTTCTTTTCCACTTAATTCGGTTTTAGCGCACTGGTTTTAGTCTTTTGTTTTATTAATATTATCTTGGTGGCGGATATATTGTGCAGTGATATACCACGACATTATACCAGTGTGTAAGTGTCACCCCTTTCTTCTACCCTCAAGTGTGAACTGTCACCCCAACCCACAAGCCGAGAGGTAAGCATCAATGCTTACCACACACCCACAGACAGTGCTGCAGACTCAGATACAGAATCCCAAGACTCAGAAGAAATCCCAATCAAGATCGAATTCTTCTTGACAAACACGACCAACACGGGTAACCGCAAAACCTTCCAAGAGCGTATACAAACTCAGCAAATAAAATTACAACACAACATTCCCGGTGCTAAAACGAGGGACGTCTACGAGCATATAATGTTGCAAGCTCGCAGCCAAGCTGCCCAAACCATTCAGCAGATAAGCAGCAATATGATTAACACAATGCGCAACAGACACGCATCGATCCCAAACAATCACGGTGTGGTAGAGACCCATCAGTTTCACCATAGCCATCCAGTCATTAACAATAATTCAACACAATGTTACACAGTATTCATCTGTAGACATCCATATATGCTGAAACACGTGTGATGAACCTCTCACACACTCACAGCTCCCTGACAAGAGAGAGCAAGCTTAGCATAGCTGCCAACACCCACACATCGTGGTAGGAAGGCAGACAGCCCGCCTGCTTTCATAACTCTCACTGTATTTCCCACTTCTAGACTTCCCTTCACCTGTGCTTCTCCATCTCCTTTACACCCCCCCCCCAAAAAAAAAAAAAAAAAAAAATCCGGGAGGTGCCGGCCCTCTCACCCGCCCCACCCCCTCCAGACTCACCAAGTGAGCCTCCTGCTACCCCACCTCCTCAGCCACCCGGACAAACGGGCCGGCGGGATGATGGGGAATTAGCCTTGGCTACCATCATCTTTTGTCCGGTCGTGATGGTCGAGAGGTTAAGGGGTCCTGTGAACCAGTTGCAAAGTGCTCCTGGCAGTATGGGTTCGAGTCACTTCAGGGGTGTGAGTTTTCAGTTATATGTATGTATGTATGTATATATATATATATATATATATATATATATATATATATATATATATATATATATATATATATATATATATATATGAGCTGGAGGAACTCTACAACTTGTGACAAGTAGCTTTGTACCCTCCTGACAAGTGGAATCTTGGAGTTATCTTGAGATGATTTCGGGGCTTAACATCTCCGCGGCCCGGTCTTCGACCAGGCCTCCTTTTTGTTATACACCCCCCAGGAAGCAGCCCGTAGCAGCTGTCTGACTCCCAGGTACCTATGTACTGCAAGGTAACAGGAGCATCAAGGTGAAAGAAACTGCCCATTTGTTTCCGCCTTCACCGGGGATCGAACCCGGAACCTCAGGACTACGAATCTGAAGCGCTGTCCACTCAGCTGTCAGGCCTCTACAAGCATGTAGGGCATGCTTGCAAGCATGCCCCTACCCTGCATGAAACCAATGTTGTAACCCTTTTTGTGTAATGAAATTTTAAAATAAAGTTAGATAAATATAAAATATATATATTTAAAATAAAGTTAGATAGGGAGCCGGTCGGCCGAGCGGACAGCACGCTGGACTTGTGATTCTGTGGTCCTGGGTTCGATCCCAGGCGCCGGCGAGAAACAATGGGCAGAGTTTCTTTCACCCTATGCCCCTGTTACCTAGCAGTAAAATAGGTACCTGGGTGTTAGTCAGCTGTCACGGGCTGCTTCCTGGGGGTGGAGGCCTGGTCGAGGACCGGGCCGCGGGGACACTAAAAAGCCCCGAAATCATCTCAAGATAACCTCAAGACATACACACACAAAAAAATAGGGGTGGTAGGAGAAGAAAATATCACAGTGTTCAGTGAGGATTCACAAGGTCTTCTCTGAGTACTCTTTATTTTCTTCTCCGAGGCTTCTCCGATTTATGATAGATGTTCCCTTCAGGAATCATAATTTCAAAATGAATACCAAACATCTTGTTTCAGATTCAAAAAGATTTATCTACAAGTGACATATAAGGTACTGGTTACGTGAGACGGATTGCAGCCCAAAAGCATAACCCCACAACGCTTCTATATGAATGAATAACAATGTGTAAAATAAAAGAAACCCATCGCCCCTACCCAGAGACCGACTCATACAGTGGTCGAAATAATTCTTCATAATATTATAACAGTGAGAGAGAGCGGATACTGACGACGGCAGTAGCGTGCTTACCGGTCCTTTCCGTAACTGTGTCTGGCCAAGAATGAGCCAGGGAGCTGCCCAGAGAAATCAGTACATGCTGCCTATCTCCCCACCTATATACTCAACAGTGACTCAGCTGGTCACGCTCTCCATTATTGACACGTAGTCCGTGAAGGGCGCAACTGATACCCAGGCACTCGAGGGAAAACCCAATTGCTACATCTCCTCTTCATTCGAGCCTTATAATCATAAAATGTGAGGACTTATGAATCACCATGAATTCACTTTTGAAAGACAGAGAGAGAGAGAGAGAGAGAGAGAGAGAGAGAGAGAGACAGACAGACAGACAGACAGACAGACAGACAGACAGACAGACAGACAGACAGACAGACAGACAGACAGACAGACAGACAGACAGACAGACAGAGACAGAGACAGACAGACAGAGACAGAGACAGACAGACAGAGATAGAGGGAGAGAGATAGAGAGAGAGAGAGAGAGAGAGAGAGAGAGAGAGAGAGAGAGAGAGAGAGAGAGAGAGAGAGAGAGAGAGAGAGAGAGTGTACTCACCTAGTTGTACTCACCTAGTTGTGTTTGCGGGGGTTGAGCTCTGGCTCTTTGGTCCCGCCTCTCAACCGTCAATCAACAGGTGTACAGATTCATGAGCCTATCGGGCTCTGTCATATCTACACTTGAAACTGTGTATGGAGTCAGCCTCCACCACATCACTTCCTAATGCATTCCATTTGTCAACCACTCTGACACTAAAAAAGTTCTTTCTAATATCTCTGTGGCTCATTTGGGCACTCAGTTTCCACCTGTGTCCCCTTGTGCGTGTTCCCCTTGTGTTAAATAGACTGTCTTTATCTACCCTATCAATCCCCTTCAGAATCTTGAATGTGGTGATCATGTCCCCCCTAACTCTTCTGTCTTCCAGCGAAGTGAGGTTTAATTCCCGTAGTCTCTCCTCGTAGCTCATACCTCTCAGCTCGGGTACTAGTCTGGTGGCAAACCTTTGAACCTTTTCCAGTTTAGTCTTATCCTTGACTAGATATGGACTCCATGCTGGGGCTGCATACTCCAGGATTGGCCTGACATATGTGGTATACAAAGTTCTGAATGATTCTTTACACAAGTTTCTGAATGCCGTTCGTATGTTGGCCAGCCTGGCATATGCCGCTGATGTTATCCGCTTGATATGTGCTGCAGGAGACAGGTCTGGCGTGATATCAACCCCCAAGTCTTTTTCCTTCTCTGACTCCTGAAGAATTTCCTCTCCCAGATGATACCTTGTATCTGGCCTCCTGCTCCCTACACCTATCTTCATTACATTACATTTGGTTGGGTTAAACTCTAACAACCATTTGTTCGACCATTCCTTCAGCTTGTCTAGGTCTTCTTGAAGCCTCAAACAGTCCTCTTCTGTTTTAATCCTTCTCATAATTTTAGCATCGTCCGCAAACATTGAGAGAAATGAATCGATACCCTCTGGGAGATCATTTACATATATCAGAAACAAGATAGGACCGAGTACAGAGCCCTGTGGGACTCCACTGGTGACTTCACGCCAATCGGAGGTCTCACCCCTCACCGTAACTCTCTGCTTCCTATTGCTTAGATACTCCCTTATCCACTGGAGCACCTTACCAGCTACACCTGCCTGTCTCTCCAGCTTATGTACCAGCCTCTTATGCAGTACTGTGTCAAAGGCTTTCCGACAATCCAAGAAAATGCAGTCCGCCCAGCCCTCTCTTTCTTGCTTAATCTGTGTCACCTGATCGTAGAATTCTATCAAGCCTGTAAGGCAAGATTTACCCTCCTTGAATCCATGTTGGCGATTTGTCACGAAGTCCCTTCTCTCCAGATGTGTTACCAGGTTTTTTCTCACGATCTTCTCCATCACCTTGCATGTGTGTGTGTGTGTGTGTGTGAGTGTTACGAGCCCGACAACATCGTCGCAGTAGGGAGTAGCGACGTCAGCTCCATCTGTGAGTCGGCTCTCTAAACCCCCACGGGTTCAGACGTAATGTGGACAATACCATCTGGTGGTGGCTGTCAAATACCTGCAAATGGCTCAAGATTTCGGCCTTGGTCAGCCAGAGGGGTTGTTGTGGGTGACCTCTGGTGAGATAACGAATCAAGACCAGCGCCACCTAGGGTGTGCTACAGAGCACAATGTCAACTCCCCAATGGATTAGGGCTATTTCCTAGTTTCACCAGTACCGGCAAGATAATTGATGACGTTTTTGTGTCCACAGAAGTGACGTCTGGGGGGGCACGTCTGGGGGGCAGCGGTACTGAAGACGCAGTTCATCTTGGGCATTCCACGGTCTCCCGACGTGGTCCTGGAGAAGCGACCACGTAAGCTGCCGCCGTTCTGAAGCAGTGTGGTAGCTGCTAATTACATGGTATTGAAAGAGATCGACGTGCCTCTAGGACTGGCTTAAGGGAGAAACTGACGGCAGGGAGGTGTCTGTTGAGTAGTGCTGCTAGCTGGACGCTAGAGAATGCTGCCAGAGGATCGCTACCCCTGTACTGTAGCACCAAAAAAGTAAAGCTGTATGGACTCTTTTCTCTGGTATGTTGCCAGCTAGGCATGTGTGGAGAATCTAATTATTTCTACCAGAAAGCCCTGTGCAATGTCTCCCAGTGCATGGTTGAACATTTGTTTGATGTGATTGGGTTTTAGTCCTTTGAACCTGCCTGCTGATACTGGAGTGAAGGATAAAGTTGCTTTATGATCCACAGATTCGGCCACACATGAATCTGTGTGTGATTCGTGTGTGGTCGATAGCATCTAGTAGGTTCTGCTCGGGTGACACAGACTGATGGAAAACAGACGTCACGTGGAGCTCTGGGTGGGTGTTTGTCTCTCAGGGCATGTGCTGTGTTGGCATCTCTGGTGGCAACTGTGTCCTTGCTGGTAATGGCTTGCATTGTCCCTACAGTGTTGCCTTCTTTTATTTTCTTGTTGACTGTTGCTCTGATGTTGAATGCCTCGTTTCTGTTGTTTTCTTTCCTGCAGTGGGTGTTTTTGGCACGGGTGGGGAGGGGTGCCTGGTTGTCCTCTCCAGGGAAGCTATTTATAGCCCTAATGACTGAGAAAGCTATAGTGATTTGTCTATCCTTGCAGGGACAGCTAGGCACGTGTTACCAAACAGGAGGAGGGTGCGCAATGCTTGGGTGGTTCCGGGAGAGTCATTTACCTTATTCAAGAGGCTGGATAGTTTGGTTACTTCTTAGGGGCGGGCAGTTTTGGGGGTTGTGCTGCAAGGTTCTAACCGATGTTGCTTTAATGGCTTCTAGTAGATGCTATGTCGAAATCCAGCTGTTGGAGGTGTTTTCTCTGACTGCTGATGTGGGGTGTTGATTGATACTCTCTTTTGGAGGACACCACGTACCCGAACATTGGGTTCTGTTGTAGGAATGTTTGCGCATGTCCTCGTTGTTTTTGCGATTCCACACACTTGGCATGTGCCTTCTCTGCTGCTGATTTTTTTTTTCTCTCTCTCTACCACAGACGTGGCCACACAAAACCTTTCATCTTATCACAGTTTATCATAATATGTATCTTTTGTTATATCTTATGCAATTTCTCTTCACGATGATAAACCTTATTTCTCAATGCCGTCCAGTTGGGTGAGTGTGGAGCAAGACTAGTAACTGCTTGATTCACCATAGATGTCAAGGTGCCTTGTATAGTGACTGTTGTGAGCATCTTGTTGAATCATGTGTAATATAAAAAGGTTATTGACATGGGTATTAATTTGTGTAAATGATTTTGTGTGTATACATATATGGACATATGTATGTAACATTAACAAATGTGTTACTAACGTCACAAGATTGTCACTTGCTTAGCAATATGAACTATGGGGTTCAGTTCCTGAACCCATTATGTGCCTCGGTAACCATTTCCACCACCGCCCACGAGAGAGGTAGAATAATAAAGAAATAAATAAATTAATTTCTCTGTGATTAATATTCCCCAATTCGTCCTTAAGATAAGCAGTTTTAATCAGCGTCTCAGTTAGCCAATGTTAAGTCTTTCATGTTGGTGTCTCTGGTTGGGTAGATAGTTGCGTTTGAAATTAGTTTATGACGATCTTAAAAAAAAAACTCCTTCGCTGAAGAGTTTTCCATTTTAAATGACCATTTTACTTACTAAAATTACAGTATCCAACAATGAAAAACATTACTATACTTTGATGCCCTGTGGATTCCTGCCACTATAGGCGAAAGTTAAATTTCGTGGAGATATGGCGGTCAGTATAATATACCGTTCAAAAAATTCTCCTTACTCGCAATTGCAGCTGGATTAATAGTTTATCCAGCTATTCTGGACATTTCTATTCTCCCTCCAAGACTCATCTAAGGTTTGGAGCATAAGAAGTGAATGAACTGTTCTCAACACTTGGGTAGGCCAGGTGAGTGGTGTCCAGCAGCACACCTGGGTCAATATTAATAATGTAGGGAGGAGGGGAATAGGTGAGTACCTGGGGGGTTATGTACGCTTCAGAGGGTGGGGCGGGGGAGACAAGTTTTACTAATAAACGAGAAGCGTAAGGGGAAAATATGAATGCCAGTGGGTGGTGGGATACTAATAATAGTGTCTATGTATATTCTCATGAAATAAATGAGTTTCTAGGAGCAGGCTTCAGATGAGCTTAAGTAAGATAACAGCTCTTGCTTGCAGTTTCACTATACACATCATTTGACAGCCTTAATGAACTCTAACCATAGTTTTTAGGAGAGAGAGAGAGAGAGAGAGAGAGAGAGGTGGAGAGGGTCTACTTATGTATATGCCATAATGCTAAATATGTATGTATTTCCAATAGGAACTTTAATATTAGAATATTGGAGCATAATGGGTGCTGAAACCGTCCTTTTCTAAACTTAGGAGGACTCTCGAGAAATAAATCATCATTTTCATGAATCAAGCCGTAAAATTTAAGATCCTCGTAATAGTGTGAGAATTTCTTATTTTTGCACTAATTCACTTGTGATGCTCAGTCAGAAAGGACTGCACAAGCCAACACATTAAGTGTTAGTTAAGTGAACATTTTACTTTAAAATTGAAAATAAAATGACAAGAGCAATGGCCGATGTCCACTTCCTTGTGACATCTATCCACTAGGTCGTTTAA